TTTTTGTCAGTTTTGTCAGTGTTTACACTAAGAATTGAGCATTGAGAGGTTCTGAAATGGTTCCTTTAAAGAGTACAAGAGGTACAAGAGCTCTACGTGATTTATTGCGTTATTCATACGAACATTACCTGCGCAATAACTTATATACTTCATGCTGACACAGAATATCCAACCCGACCTCACGAAAGTGCGTATAAATAGTACGCCAAATAAAAACGAAAACTCGTGGTATTGATACGCAAAAGTGGACTTTGGCGTGTATATGCTACGCGATGGGTAGGTTTAGGGTTGCGGGGTAGATGCATATCATATGCACGCCAAATTCCATTTTTGCGTATCAATACCACGAGTTTTCGTTTTTATTTGGCGTACTATTTATACGCATTTTCATGAGACCGGGCTCCAATATCCGTGATATGATATATAGCCTAGATTGCGGTTTTCCGCATTTAAAAGAGACTTTGGATAAAAGCGCCTACATTTGAATGCATATATAACTTATTGGATCTGAGAGAGAGGGAGGGGTGGAGGGATGGAGGGAGGGGTTTGTGCCGGTTTTGTCCGTCTCTAATTAGCCGCAGCCTCCTCACTTCATCTCACTGTCACACCGAGCACCGAGCCCCGAGCACCGGACACCGGACACCGGACCCCCCGCCACTGATGCCCGCTGGAGCTCAGAGAGACAGACACACAGCATCCGAGAGACTGCAGATAAAACTGACAGACAGTCAGCGCCGAACTAAAGATCCATTACAGACAGACAGAAGGAGAGAGAGAGAGAGAGAGAGTTTATAGTCATGATGTCCTACATGAAGCAGCCTCATTACTCGGTGAACGGCTTGACTCTGTCCGGTACCGGGATGGATCTCCTGCACTCCGCTGTCGGTTACCCCAGTGAGTACTGACCGAACCCCGCTTCCATTTCTGATCCACGAATTTACTATTTCATCATTATAGCCTACTAATGAGAATTTAGATGTTATTTAACGCGTTAAACTGCGCGCAAAGGTGATGATCAGCTTATCTTTATTATTTATTAATATTATTTTATGTATTAGTTTAAGCAGCGACTTTAGAAAATTGCAAAATCACAGTTAAGCATTCTTAAATATAAACGCACTTTTATATATATATATATATAATTTTTAAAAAAAACTTGCGCTGCACTGACTTTAAAACATGTTTTATAAACATTACGTCATTTATTTATGAATATGACTTATGCTAATTTTTCTTACACAGAATGTCAAGAAAAATATTTTTGTGTATTGCTCAGCTTGTTTATTAAAAATACTCAATTCTTCTATCACGAGTAAATCCAGTACTATAATCGAAAAGCGTTCGCCGGGTACGAACATTAGTCTACTGAATTTCCTAATTATTTCGTAAAAAAAAAATTTGAATTTTAAGTTTTAAAATATGAACATGAGAGTGATGAACTATAAACTCAGTTCCGATAATTCTAATATAAATAATATTCATATAATTTCAAATCAGATGGTGATTTATTTCGTAAAAGTCTTGACGGGGTTTTATTAGCCAGACGAGAAATAATGATCATTGTAAACACGAATGAATAATTCCTAATAATACTGCTGATTGCGCTCATTAACGCGCGTTTCCCGATTAGAGAATATTAGTTAATTCCTGCATTATAATCCTCAGAGATGTAAGACAAATTCAAGAATGTTAAATGTCAGCTTTATGCAAGAAAAAACCACATCTCATCCATAGACATTTCATAAATTCATGCTTGCAAGTGTGGACTTAAACAACTAAACGATTAAACTTTTGAGCATATTTGGGAACGACTGAAGTGTTAAGTAGATGGATAGATGATGCATGGATAGATGGATGCACATGAAAGACTATCTGTGTTTGTGTTTGTGTGGTTTATCTTCAGACACTCCGCGGAAGCAGCGGCGCGAGAGAACCACCTTCACGCGCGCGCAGCTCGACATCCTCGAGTCACTGTTCGCCAAGACACGCTACCCAGACATCTTCATGAGAGAGGACGTGGCTCTCAAGATCAACCTGCCCGAGTCCAGAGTCCAGGTGAGTCCTGCAGAGCCCAGCAGAGCTTCAGCAGAGCCCAGAGACGCCTGGCTTCAGCGGGGAACCCCTGGGACATGCCACAACCATGGGGCTTTCTAATGCGCAAACCGGGTGTCTATAGCCATCATTCTGGGTAGAGCCATAGGTCTACAGTGGGAAATATTCTTCTCAATATTAAAATGTTAAATATATATCAAAAATTAAACATGGCGCTTCTCTAACTAATGTATATAGTGGAAAATATTCGGATTATTAAAATGTTCTTCCCACTAAAATGGTTCAAGAAAGTGTTCATTGAAAGGTTTTTGGGGATTAATATTATATTATATACATTATATATTAAAGATATATTCGTTTTTGTTAATATTTCGATTAGATTTTATTTTTTTTAATTCTGTTTTCATTTTCATTTTAGTCATTTTGTTGTGTTTTTGTCATTTTTATTAGTTTGTGTTCGTAAATACGTCTATATAGTTTTTTATAAGGTTTTATTTCATTACATTAAGTTAAACTTTTTGCATTATTGACACACTATTTTCATATTTAATGCTGTTCAGTTGCTTTGACACAATCTGTATTGTTAAAGGCGCTATATAAATAAAGGTGACTTGACTTAAACTTTTATTTCATTTTAAGTAGCAATTTTTTCTTTCTTTGTCTTTTTTAATGGTTTTAGTTTTAGTTAATAAGTTACAGTACAACCTTGAAGAAATTATAAAAGCAAAGCAGTGTTGGCAGCACTTGTTCACATGAATCACCATTCCTTGATTTATTTTATTGTTGTATTTTGTTTTATTATTTTATTTCTATTACGACTGGATTCTTTTCTATGAATGCACACATGTATTTCTCTTCTGAAAAGCACTTTATAAACACTGTTTTTACTTAAACTCTAATTCTGCCGTTGAGAGGAACGGGACACTGACTGAGAGAGACCCGTCTGTGTTTTGCAGGTGTGGTTTAAGAACCGTCGTGCGAAGTGCCGTCAACAGCAGCAGCAACAGACCAGCGGCCAGACCAAACCCAGACCGCCGAAGAAGAAGTCGTCTCCGGCCCGAGAGCCCAGCGTCAGCGAGCCCAGCGCCAGCACCAACGGCCCCTACAGCCCTCCGCCTCCTCCGGCCCCGAGCTCCAGCTCCACCAGCGCCACCGTGTCCATTTGGAGCCCGGCCTCCATCTCTCCGCTTCAAGACCCGCTGTCGGTCTCCAGCACGGCCTGCCTGCAGCGCTCCAGCGCCTACCCCATGACCTACAGCCAGGCCCCGGCCTACGGGCAGAGCTACGCCGCCTCCTCGTCCTACTTCACCGGGCTGGACTGCAGCTCGTATCTGTCCCCCATGCACCCGCAGCTGTCGGCCACAGGGGGCGCTCTCAGTCCCATGGGTGCAGCGCTCAGCCAGTCCCCCGCCTCGTTCTCGTCGCAGGGCTACACCGCCGCGTCGCTGGGCTTCGGCGCCGTCGACTGCTTAGACTACAAAGACCAAACGGTGTCCTGGAAGCTCAACTTCAACGCTGCGGACTGTCTGGACTACAAGGACCAGAACTCCTGGAAGTTCCAGGTCCTGTAGAGCATCTAGAAGAAGCTTCGCTGCACTTCTAAAAGGCTCCAACATGGGTCAGCGATGCCATAAACAGACGGTTTTTGGTTCCCCAAAGAATCTTTGAGTGAACAGTTCTGAAAAAAGTGTAAAAGAATCTGCTGGGAAAAAAAAAATAGAACCCTACAGTGTTACGGTAACGCATTACAAGTTACGCAATCAAATTACATTTTTCAATGTAACTAATAAAGTATTACTTTTAAATTTACAATGAAATATAAGAGTTACTAAGTAACGGCAGTTACTTTGTTTTCTCATGTGTTGACTGACCGCTCTCCTGTCAGAAATCAGAGAATCGGAGGATCTTCCTTCAGCCTGAAGATTATTCATTTCACTTTTGGTGTAAAAAATATAACTTTTGGGTTTTTTGTTATTAAAAACGAGTAGGCAAGCCCAGAACAGGTGACATTACTTTCCATAAAAAGTAACTAAGTAATGCAATTATTTACTTTTTCATGGGAGTAACGCAATATTGTAACGCATTACTTTTAAAAGTAACTCTCCCCAACACTATTTGCAATGGTTTTCTAATGGGAATTGTATTGGTTTTAATGGAAACTGTCACGGTCCTCTACTGGTAATTTGCTGCCTTCTATTGGTGGCATGTTAAAACCACTGAATACTAATGAGATTTTGCCCAAAACACACTACTGGAAACCATTTGAGTCACTCTTAAAAATAAAGGTCCAAAATGTTTTTTTTTCCTCCCACCGATGCCATAGAAGAACCATTCTGGGTTCCCCAAAGAGCCTTTCATTGAACTACTTTTCTTAGTGAGAAGAACATTTTAATAATCTTTTTCCACTATAAAGAACCTTTTGTGGAATGGAAAGCTTCCATGGAAGCCAATGAAGAACTTTTATTCTTTAGCGTGTAATGGTTTTAATGCTTAACAGTTGATGGTTTGTAATGTTTATAATGGTATTTGTAGTGCAGACCATTAGAGCTTCTGTCATGGTTTCATTGCCATTGATGGTTCCAAAAACCTTTAACATCAATCGAACCACTAAAGGTCCTTAGGAACTTTAAAAAAAGGAAGAAAACCTGAACTGAAAGGTTCAAGGAGCCCAAAATGGTTCTTCTATGGCCTTTATATTTAAGAGTGATATTGTTTTTTGTTCTTTTTCAGCAGCTTTTTCCTTTTGTCCAGTGGAAAGGTTCCATGAAGAACCTTTATTTTTATGAATGTGGATAACGAGATATTCTGAACCGTTCACGCACGAGTGAAGCGTTTGGACGACATGGACAGAAGTACAGCAGACTGTCCCGTGTAGATGGAGATGTTTCTAACTGAATAACACTGAAGGAGGTGTAGCTGGTAGATGATAGACGTGCTGAGATGATGCACAGCTCAGATGTTTAGTGCAGTGGTTTACATCTCAAAAATCATCATCATCATCATCTGAACTGCTGAAGCACAGTCTTGTTGTTTTAGGAGGTTGACCATTAGGCTAGATGATATTTCAACCTTCAGAATCCCAAATGTTTGTGAATAAGCTGCTTTTGAAACTAAAGAACGAACTGCAACGTCCCGCTCAGAGACTCCAGGAGAGCAAAGCATGCTGGGACACGTGAACTCTAGCTGAAGATGTTTCGTTTATATGTTTTCTTAATTGATATTTTGATTAGATCAAGCATCTGTTGTTCCTTCTAAACCTGTGAAACGTTCGGTATTTACTCTCATTTACACGACGGTGATTCTGAGACGTCAAACTTTACTTGAATGAAATCACGTGTTGAGTTAAATGGAGTTAATCAACCCACAAACTCTCTCTCGCTTGACGTCTAGATGCTGCCAACAATCAGCGTTTGTTTTCTTGTCAATCTCAGGGGTTTCTCACGCTCACAGACGCAGAGCTTTCATTGTTTGTAAATCATTGCTCTCTTTTCTGATTCTGTCTTTCTTTGTAATGTCCTGCTTTTTCATTGTGTTTGCATTTAGAGTCTTGTAGATTTGAAACTTTTAATGAATTATAAATAAACATTTCTTTCCATAAATACAGGACAGGTCAGTTTTTTTATATAATTTTAGTATGTTATAATTCTATTTTGTTATATAGCATAATAGATTTTTAGAATCATTAAGACTTGGCAATATTTTCATGACTTCAAAATGAATGCAGAGAGGGAATAAATGAATGAATGATAATAATCATGATAATAATAAAAATACATTTTATCAAAATGGTAAAATATCTTGATGGTTTTAAAATGAGCTTTATTTTCCTGATGCTCAATCGTTTCCTTTGATTTTGGAATTAAATATGAGCTGGACATGTTTTTTCACCCAATGAAAACACACACACAACACACACACACACACACACACACACACTCGCACGCGCACTCTCTCACACACACACACACTGATACACACACACTGATACACACACACCCACACAAGTACACTCCTGTGACCCTTCCCTCCATCTCTCTTTGTTTTTTGCATCTCTCTCTTACAGCTACACAACACAACACAGGATGGACAAACACGGTTTAATTTCAAAGACTGTGTGTGTGTGTGTGTGTGTGTGTGTGTGTGTGTGTGAGTGTATGTGTGTGTGTGATTTCAAACCTAGAGGAAAATTCTGAATAACTGAAAAAAGTTCCTCTCACCCATTATATCCATTTTTAAAGTATATTTTCTTTCACACACACTTCTGCTGACACACATCACTCCATTCAAGAACAAATACATTCATCCATCTTTAAAAACAGATATAAACTCATACTAAGTCTCATTTACCTACAGCTTGTTTTGTAGAAACGATCCTGAATTTGACCTTCATCATCATCATCATCGAGTCACGTTTCATCTGTAAAACAGAAACTATCTGAAGTGATTATTAGAAAGCCTCTCGCAGCAAACCAAACACTTTCAGTCTCATTGAGTTAGTATGGACAAAAAATAGAATGGAAGTCAATGGGAACCAAAACGGTTACGTTCCAAACATTCTTCAAAATCTCTTCTTTTGCGTTTCACAGAAGAAGAAGTCATACAGCTTTGAACGACATGAGGACAGTAAATGATGACAGAATGATGATATTTGGGTGAACTGTCCCTTTAACAGCAATCAAACACCTCCATCAGTGTTTTGATAACTTTACATTTGGCTGTTATCTCTGAAATGTAGAGAATTAATAGAGGGACGAGTGTAATTACACACTTCCATCTCTCTCTCTCTCTCTCTGTCTGTAGTTTGTTATTTTTACTGATCTAATTTAGCAAATGTTTCAATCCTCTTAGGCTCCGGCGCTGTTCAGAGTGAATTAGTCTGGATTATTGTGTCTCTCTCACTCTCGTTTAGTCTTTTCTTCTCAGTGTCTTGCTCAGAATCAGAATCAGAATCAGTGGGTCAGTGAGTTTCAGACCTGATCTTCATCCATCTTCTCCATGAAGACCTTCAGTTTCTTCCGTCTGTGAGAAGATTCAGTGCAGGCTAACACACAGTGTTGGGGGTAACGCATTACAAGTAACACGAGTTACGTAATCAGATTACTTTTTTTAAGTAACTAGTAAAGTAACGCATTACTTTTTAATTTACAAGAGAATATCTGAGTTACTTTTTCAAATAAGTAACGCAAGTTACTTTGTTTCCCATTTATTGATTGACAGCTCTGGTGTTGCCATGGTGACAGAAATCAGAAGATGTTACTGTAGTTCTAAAATAAATATGAATATGCATTAATTCATCTCACTCACAAAAAACAAAACAAACACAGATTCAGTATTCCTCAAAATGAATAAAAATAATGCAACTCAGAATATGACGTAAACCTGCAATAATTAAATGTTAAACAACACAAATATCCTTTATGTATTTAATCCCATTCTATTAACCAATGTCTTCGATGATCCAGTTCAACCGTACTAATAATCACAAATTACTCCATTGCTGAAGTGTGTTGAAATGTCTTCTTCTGCATTCTACTGTACGGACGTAAATTTACTTTCCCTTCAGCCCGAGGCTTATTCATTTCACTTTTGGTGTGAAAAGGCTTTTATATTTGCCAAAAATAGAACTTTTTTATTTTAAAAACAAACAAGCAAACCCTGTCCAGATTTAAAAAGTAACGCAAAAGTAACGTAACGCATTACGTTCCATAAAAAGTAACTAAGTGACGTAATTAGTTACTTTTTTATGGAGTAACGCAATATTGTAACGCATTACTTTTAAAAGTAACTTTCCCCGACACTGCTGACGTCCAGTAACATCTAGAAAACAAGCGATATTTATTACAGCAACAAGAGATGCGCATGAGCCGTGTTCAACACTGGACCCTTAAGACCTTCTCCATTCTGACAAAAGTACTGCAATGTATTGAGCTACTTATATATACTCACATTCTGTCTGAATTCATCCACGTCTCTCATTTTCTGAATCAAATCTCTAAAAAAAACATTGGCGTTAACTCCTGCTGTTACTGTACACTTACTGTACATTTGATTAAATAATGTAAACAACATGAATAAGTGCTTATGAAATGTCTACCTGAGCATTTGATCAGGCAATTAAAAATAATAATAATAGCAAAATAATTTCCTATTATAATATAAAAAAAGATATCATGATATACAGTAACACTTTTGGAGATCAGTATCGATTTTTAGCCAGAAGAACAGAAAACACTGAGACTGAAGGCATTGTTTACACATTATCTTTATATATATTTGATTAAATTCCTCCAATTTATATTTGAAGGTTATTTTTCTGTGGCGTCACGTCTCTCATTCATTAAATTTCATGGCTCACTTCTGAGGCTCTTACTCACTTTCATTATATACTAATGTCTGGAACACATCAGTATAATCTTTGCTGTTTTGCATTGGAGAAACCTGAAAAGCTCTTTCCAAACTAACACTGCACTCATGTCTATTAAGTGCATGTGAAACAAACTAAATCAGTCAGTCTGACGTGTTGAAGGCGTCTCGCTCTTTCTCCAGTCTCCTGTGTTTTTGAGCAGCTCCTAATCTCTCTATTCTGTCTAATCCAGGCCTGACCTCAATCCAGTGATGTAATGGGTCATGTGACCCTGACGGTTTCCACCAATCAGAGCACTTCACACGTTTGCGGACGCGAGTGACTGAAAACATGATTCAGAAAGAAAAAGACATTCTTTTGCACAGTGTTTGTGTTACTCTGTGATCATTAGACCTGATTCTATAGGACTGATAGGAGCTGCTACACTCGAAGAAAACTCTGGGAACTTTCACTCAGAAATAGCTAATGAATTTCACAAATAATTACCGAAAGACCGAAATAGTATTTTCTTGTAAAACATACTCCAGTAATATTCATGTCTGAAGAATCATTTGTTAACTAAAACTAAACCTGCAGTCAGTTTCATTACCTGAAACAAAAAGTATTAACTTAAAAATAACTGTAAAAAAAGTGGACGTACTAAAAGTATTAAAAAATAAATTGAAATAATAAATTGCAGGTAAATACAAATATTTTTGTAAAAAAAAAAAGATAATTGCACAAAATTTCAAGTAAAAGGAAAACTGAAAACGTAAAAATGAAAAGTAATTCAAAATATTAACGAATACTATAATAGCATAAAAACTGTACTAAAATAACAATGGTAGGATTTTATTTATTTATTATTTCATGTCCAACACTGAAATTATCTAGAGACAGAGAGAAAGACAGCTGAGCACGCGCTCTCACTAAGCTCCTCCCCCATCTGTCTGTAGTGCAGTGTGACCTGACACACACACACACACACACACACACTCACACACTCACACACTCACACACACTCACACACTCACACTCACACACTCACACACACAAACAAACTCACTCACATGCGCACACTTACACACTCACACACACACACACACACACACACACACTCACACACTCACACACTCACACACACTCACACACTCACACTCACACACTCACACACACAAACAAACTCACTCACATGCGCACACTTACACACTCACACACACACACACACACACACACACACTCACTCACTCACACACACACACACACACACTTACACACACACACGCACACTTACAGTATCTCACAGAACGGAGTACACCCTCACATTTTTGTAAATATTTTATTATATCTTTTCATGTGACAACACTGAAGAAAT